TCTGGGCATTTGGGAGGGTTTCCTGAGGTTATCTTTTAAAAACGCTTCTAAACGCAAATGCGGCTGAACGCTCATAAACACAGTAGGCTAAACTGACATTTTTAACCTACGTTTTTTAACTGTCAGTCTCCAGCGGTCACAAAAGTTTTCCAAACACCCTGTGTACATGAGCCCTAAAAGTTATAGCGTCTACAAGCTATGGTATATATATTAGAATTTACGTAGCTCTTACTTTGTGACTGCCTATCACATTTCTTGAGGTGCTAAAATGCCGGGGCAGTACAACCCCCCGCCCAAAAGACCCCTTTTTGGAAAGTAGACACCCCAAGGATTTAGCAGAGAGGCATGTTGAGTCCATGGAACATTTTAATTTTTTAAAAATTACAATTTGTTTACACAAAGTTGTCACTTTAATGATATATTGCTCATGCATGCCATGGCTATATGTGGAATAACACCCCAAAACACATTCTCCTACTTCTTCCAAGTATGGGGATACCAGATGTGAGAGACTTTTTGGCAGCTAAGCTACATACAGGCCCCCAAAATCCAATGATAACCTCCAGGCTTTCAAAGGACATATTTCCTCATATTACTTCCCCACTACCTATCACAGTTTCGGAGGCTCTAAAATGCCAGGATAGTACAAACACCCCCCCCCCCCCCCAAATGACCCCTTTTTGGAAAGTAGACACCCCAAGGATAAGAGGCATGGTGAATATTTTACAGATATCATTTTTGTCACAGGGTTTTGAAAAAGAAAAAATAAATTTTTGTTTTCTTTCTTCGTTTTCCAAAAAACATGTGGCAACAAATGAGATCTGCAAAATACTCACCATGCCTCTTAGCTAATACCTTGGAGTGTCTACTTTCCAAAAAGGGGTCATTTGGAGGGATTGCTTCTACTATCCTGGCATTTCAGGACCAACATTAGAAACTTGCCACCCAGCACCCACTCTTAAAGACCAAGCCTTTTCTGACACTTTTTGTTCACATGAAAAAACTTTTTTTGCTAGAAAATTACTTTGAACCCCCAAACATTATATATATTTTTTTTAAAGCAGAGGCCCTAGATAATAATAAATGGTGGGTGTTGAATTTTTTTATGTCACACAGTATTTGTGCAACGATTTTTCAAACGCAAATCTATTGGGAAAAATAATTTTTTTAGAATTTTAATGCACAAAAACACAATATATTGCCCAGTTACTTGATAAAATATAAAAGATGATGGTACGCCGAGTAAATAGATACCAAACATGACATGCTTTAAAATTGTGCATGCTTGTGCAATGGCAACAAAATACATACATTTTTATTATTGATAGGCAACGCTTTAAAAGCCTTTACAGGTCACCAATTTATATTTACACAGGAGGTCTAGTGCTAGAATTACTGCCCTCGATCTGACGTTCATGGCGATACCTCACATGCACGGTGCAACCACTGTTTACATACCAACACGGGGTCAACGCTTGCGCGTGCGGGGGGGGGGTGCTTTTTATCCGTTATTTTGATTTTTTTAAAATTATTTTTACACTGTCCCTTTTTTTTTTTTTAATCACTTTTATTGCTAATCACAAAGAATGTAAATATCCCCTCAGACTGCAATAGGCATAGACAGGTATTCATTTTTGAGAAATCTGGGGTCTATTAGACTCTAGATATCTCCTCTGCCCTTACATCATCTGATCTCACCAAGATCAGTGTGATCAGATGCTTTCCCAATTTACAAATGGCGCTGTTTATATCCTGCGAAACTGATGAAATGCTCGTAGCTTCTGATTTCATAGACTATAGAGATGATTGGAGTCATTCTTGTCTCTGATCAGCTCTATGGTCAGCCAGTGGAACTGCTGGCTGCATTCTCGGATTCCCCTGTGGGACAGGAGAGCCCAAGAAAACTGTGGAGGGCAACAGGAGGGGGGGTTGTCCCTTCCCGCTGCTCATAAAAACAATTCAGCAACTAATTGGCCACTAGGATTGTATTTAAATGAAAGCCAACCGCCAGCTGAAAAAAACAATACCAGGATGATGCCTGTAGCTGTAGTCAGCATCCCGGTATAACCACACAGCGACGTTCCAGTACATTGCTGGTCCAGTTTGGGCATACTGCATATGTGACAGCAGAGAACACAGGCATACGATGAATGGTGTCTGTGGACCAATATGACCGCAATTCATTCTTTTCTGCAATGCCCATGTTGAGGGTTAGGCCTAAAAATGTTTTACATTCAGAAACTGTGATTGGTCTCCATGCAAATTGTTTGACAAGAGCTGAATTTGGGTGGGCGGCAATGTATTGTTGTGCGTATAAATTGCTTTGGCCCACAATCAATTGATACAAATCTTCCGTGAAAAACAGCGGAAGGACTAAACACTAGTGCTGGTAGCGAACAGGACTGATCCTGCTAACTCTGCGTTTTTTGGGGACACTATACTAAGCAGGCACTAGTATAGTTCTGTTCATGATAAATATCTTGATCCATACAAACACTATACTAGTAATGGCGGTGATCAGTGACCTATAGCGTGAGTGCGATATTGTGCGGACAATCTAACACTAGCAGACCCTGGCTGGGTGTGGCGCTTACTGACCCTGACATTATCTGATGTGGCTAGTGGCAGGAATACAATGATCAGTGAAAAATTCTATATACAGACACTGTACTAATGGCACTGGCTGGGTGACGGGGCGATCAAAGAGTTAATAGGGGCGATCAAAGGGTTAAATCTGCTAATCTAACATATGTGTGTGTAAACTGTAGCGCTTTTACTCGGTGCCATGTTCTCTCTTCCCTCCCTGGACCGACCCGGGGGGCAGGGGGGGCGCAGGCACATTCACTTGACGCGACGCAAGATTACATCACTTTGTCAAGAGCTGCTGCGGGTAAGCGGTTGGCAAGTACGTAAAAAAAAATAAAAACCCTTAAAAAAATTTTTTTAAATTCTCAATATGGTATTTTTTTTAAATGTTTTTAATTTTTTTTTAATACTTTTATCAGAATAGTACAATGTTACCATAGTAACATTGTACTACTGGGGGATGATCAGGGATTTTTCTTTTTTTTTTTTTTTTTTCTTTTACACTTTGCTTTGCAGGCGAAATACAGATCATTTATCTCTTGCAATGCAAAGCTTGCTGTCATGAACCTAACTCATTCATGAGATGTCAGTTAGGTTTTTGACAGCTCAAGATAGTGATCTGTGATTGGCTGGAGCTGGTCATATGGTACAGGATGCTGTGTTTCGCCCCATGTATCATGTGACAGCTGTGGGCCAATCACAGCTCACTAGGAAGAGAAGCAGAGCTGTTATGAATATTGATTCACAACAGCTTTGCTTACAATGTGATCATGTGATCGCATAGCGATGACATGATCACCAAGTCCCGTTCACCGGGATCTTCATTCTGCTGTGTCCACCAGAGCAATCCACAGCAATCACGGTGGGGGAGCTGCCTGTAGCTGCCGCCCGGCTGCAATACATTGCGTGCGAGCGGGAAGTGGTTAAAGTAAAAATAATTTAAACATTTTTTAAAAAAATTCCTTTAAATATTATGTACAACGTATAGAAAAAAAAACAGCGTGGGGGTCCCCCCCCCAATCCATACTAGACACTTTGGGTGTGCTAGGATGCTAGGAAGGTTAGGAGGGACCCCACAGTAGTTTTTTTTTTTTTTTTTTAAAGTGCATGTGGTTTCCCCTAAAAGCCATACCAGGCCCTTTAGGTCTGGTAGGACTTTTAAGGGGAACCCCACCCCCCAAAAATGGCGGGGAAAGTGCATAGGGTTCCCCCTAAAAGTCCTACCAGGCCCTCTAGGCCTGGTAGGACTTTTAAAGGGAACCCCACCCCACAAAACAGTAGATAGAAAAAAAGCATGGGGTTCTCCCTAAATTCCTACCAGACCCTTGATCCGAGCACAGGCTTGGCAGGCCAGGGAAGGGGGGGGAAGTAAGCGCCCCCTCCTGACTGATACCAGGCCATGGGGGGATTCTTTGGGGCAAAGGGCCCCCCCCAAAGCACTTTGTCTCCATGTTGATGGGGACAAGGGCCAGCAGGCAGGGGGCTTATCAGAATCTGGAATCCTCCTTTAACAAGATCCTGCCCCCCCAATGTGAATGAGTATGGGGTACATGGTACCGCTACTCATTCACGGAAAAAAAAGAGTAGTGTAAGAAATGACAGGAGACAGTCTTTGACAAGTCCTTTATTAAAAACAAAAATAAAGAAAATGATTCCTAGAGTAGATCCAACGTCAATCATGATGCCTGCCGCCACCGCCAACCTGACAAAAGAAAGAAAAATGCTCCGCTCTTGACGCTGGCTCCTGGCCGTCTGACAGCTGCCCCGGCCTGAAAGTTCTTAAATACTGTGATGACATCCCCCCTCCTTTTCAACTTTTGGCCATCGTTTTTTTTTGGAGGGAGGGGGGGAGTCCAATTGATCCAAGCGGAAGTTCAGCCCCACTCCTCTCTGTCCGCAGCCTCTTGGGAATCATCACAGTGGGGAACCAGCTGTGAAGCCACAACAGCTTCCCACAATTCGCACGGGTGGCGGGGACTTGAAGACCGGAGAGGAACTGACCTGGGTGAGGACAGCCCTGGAATCCCTGGATAGGTAAGATGCCTTTAATTACAAGTCACCAGCTACAAATATTACATTTTTTGGTGGGGGGGGGGGGGGAGGACTGAAGAACCTCTTTAAACCCTAAACCAATTATGTGTTGTGCAAATACATAGAATAAATTGGAATTTATACATTTCCAGTTGATGTAAATCATTCATGGATCAAGTCTGTGTAAACATTACAGTAGGGGGGAGGGGGAGATAACGAAACCCATAAATATTTCATGCAGAGCTGGTTCTTGTTCATTTATTTATCTGATCCATGTACGTCATTAGAGATACACTGAGTTTTTTTCTGACTATTAATATTAGATGATTTTGACACTATGTGGTATGATTTGTTTTTTTCATCTACCCTAAATGATTTAATTTAAACAAAAATTATTAACCCCTTCACACCGGCCGCATGCAAATGTGCGGCCTCCCGGCATCTGGGCCTAGACAGTGAGCGGCCGCACATTTGCATTCATGTAACAAAAAACATATGTGCTGAGAGCGCACAACCCGCGCGGAGCGCGGAGCACACTTGAGGTTCTCACGGGAAGGTTCCGGTACGCTCTTTCGATCGGGACCTTTCCCGATCATGTGACCGGCTGTGACGTCACGGCGGCCACATGACACTAAGCCCCGCCCTGCCCACCTCCCAGCGCAGGAACTCCTCTTCACACCGGGACGATCCGGCGTGAAGGGGTTAAAGAACAATTCCAGGTATGGATATTTTATACAGTCATATTGGCCCAGCTTGGACTAATGTAACTATGTCTGCAGTCTCCTGTACTAGGTCCGCAGTCTCTGGTCATCTCCTGTACCGTGTCCGCAGTCTCTGGTCATCTCCTGTACTGTGTCCGCAGTCTCTGGTCATCCCCTGTACTGTGTCCGCAGTCTCTGGTCATCCCCTGTACTGTGTCCGCAGTCTCTGGTCATCTCCTGAACTATGTCCGCAGTCTCTGGTCATCCCCTGTACTATGTCCGCAGTCTCTGGTCATCTCCTGTACTATGTCCGCAGTCTCTGGTCATCTCCTGTACTATGTGCGCAGTCTCTGGTCATCTCCTGTACTATGTGCGCAGTTTCTGGTCATCTCCTGTACCATGTCCGCAGTCTCTGGTCATCTCCTGTACTATGTCCGCAGTCTCTGGTCATCTCCAGCACTATGTCTGCAGTCTCTGACCATCTCCTGCAGTCCATTGGTTCAGAATATTTTTTTTCTTGTTTTCCTCCTCTAAAACCTAGGTGCGTCTTATGGTCAGGTGCGTCTTATGGAGCGAAAAATACGGTACCTCCTTACAGATAGCTAAAAATATCAATGGTATCAGTGGGAACTTATCTGGGAAGCAGAAATTGCTTTTTGCTCAAGGAACCCCTAGCAACCTCTGGAGGAACCCTGGTCTATAGCATGAAAGCTGCATATCAACCTCAGAGGAGGAATATATGTAAGTTCAGGGTCGAGAGCAGAAGACACTGGCCTCTGGTGTGGTCCCATGTCACAGAGGGCACAGAAACATATAATAGATGTGCTGCCAATGTAACAGGTATTAGGTGAAAATAGAAACAGTGCTCAGCACAGAAACTAGTAATAGAGCACCGAGGGTTCACTGTGGGTTCATATAAAGAAGAAAAATGTCATAGAGGGTAGGGAAAATGGACAACTGCAACCTATGAAAGAGATAAAGGAGAGGTAAAGGGGGGGGGGGGTCCACGTCATAAGTCAATGACATGGTCAGCAAGGGTAATAACTATAATTAGGTAAATGAGTTCACATGTAACTCATGGGGTCCATACCTTTAGAAAATTCTCATGGATAGCTGCTAGGATACTAGAAAGCTTATGGTTAATGAGAAAAACCATTTTGCCACTTTTGGAAAATAATAGGTTGCACTTTCAAGGCATCAGCTATGGCTTTCTTTACTACTTTACTACTCTTACCATAAAAGATGCTTGTATATGCTTATTTTTATGTTTTTTTTTCTATCTTCCTGGTATTTAGCTTTAACAATTTAGTAATGGATATGTGTTATAGTTACATACACACAGATCGTCCATGTTTTTCCATGTTGCTAGTGGGGGCCCCCTTCTACCACCAGGCCCCAGAGCAGCTGCATGGGCTGCTACGGCTACCGAAGGCTTTGCTGTTAAAAGTTTGGCCATTACAAAAGAAAACTTTTTAATTTTCTAAAGTTCTGGGAAAGAAGATCACTAGACCTCTAGAAATAGATCTAGTGATGCCGACTCATGAAATAATTCCACCTTCGGGTATGCATTATCACATAAGATACTGTAGAATTCATCCAGTGGAGGCAACATGCATTACATTTTCCTTAGATATTTCGGTTTATTTAGAATACCAAGCAAGCTTTGTGTCACTTTTATGACATGAGATATCAATTTGCTAAGATAATAAAATCAGTGAATTACGGGAGTTATGACTCTACTTACGAAATGCTGGATTGCCGAAGATAATATTTCAAATAAATCAGCGGTTCATTTGTGCTCAGCCTGAGGCCCGCCACATTGCTAAATTCAGAAAATAATGAAAATCACATTATTTAAATCAAATTAAAAATGAAATTTAGGAAGCCAATGGAACGGAAAGGATTATCTGTCTGTGCAATAGGCCCCATGAGCAAAACTGAAAGGAGACAATCACTGAATTTGTGAGCACAGACAGAATGTCTATAATTCAGTTTCATGAGCTTATGATAATTAAGGGTTTTCATATCAGGAGAGAGCAATCAGAGGAATTAAAAGTGTATCTTCAGCCTAAAGTTTTTTTTTATTTTGGGTGTAATGTTTAGGGGAGTTACCTCCTCCATTTATTCTGGTGACCATTTTAACAAGAATGATGGTAAATCCAAAATTTCCTCTCATTTCCTGTTGAGTTACAGGATATGACCTTATGTAGTTACATAGTCAAACTGAACGACACAAGTCCATTTAGTTACATCAATATAAAAATGAAACAACAAATAAACCAACTATAGAGATCTTAAAATCACAGTGGATCCAGAGGAAGGCAAATGTCTAGTCTAATTTTCAACAACAGGGAGTTTATTGTGGACTTTGTGAAGATTTCCTCTCATTTCCTGTTGAGTTATAGGACACAACTTTATGTAGTTACATAGTCAAATTGAAGAAGGGCACAAGTCCATTTTGGTGTACCAATATATAAATTAAACAACACATAAACCAAATCTAGAGATCCTAAACTCACAGCGGATCCAGAGGAAGGAAAAAGTCTAGTCCAGTTTTCAACAACAGGGAGTTCAATGCAGATTTTGTAGAGATTTCCTCTCATTTCCTGTTGAGTTACAGGATACAGCCTTATGTAGTTACATAGTCAAATTGAAGGACACAAGTCCATTTAGTTACACCAATATAAAAATGACACAACAAATAAACCAGATCTTGAGATCTTATACTCACAGTGGATCCAGAGGAAGGCAAAAGTCTAGTCCAGTTTTCAACAACAGGGAGTTCAATGCAGATTTTGTAGAGATTTCCTCTCATATCCTGTTGAGTTACAGGATACAGCCTTATGTAGTTACATAGTCAAATTGAAGGACACAAGTCCATTTAGTTACACCAATATAAAAATGACACAACAAATAAACCAGATCTCGAGATCTTATACTCACAGTGGATCCAGAGGAAGGCAAAAGTCTAGTCCAGTTTTCAACAACAGGGAGTTCAATGCAGATTTTGTAGAGATTTCCTCTCACCTGTTGAGTTACAGGATACAGAGTTACATAGTCAAATTGAAGGACACAAGTCCATTTAGTTATAAGTCACAAAAATAAACCAGATCTCGAGATCTTATACTCAACAGTGGACCAGAGGAAGGCAAAAATTTCTAGTCCAATTTTCAACAACAGGGAGTTCTCGGACTTTGTAGAGATTTCCTCTCATTTCCTGTTGAGTTATAGGATACGACCTTATGTAGTTACATAGTCAAATTGAAGAAGGACACAAGTCCATTTAGTTACACCAATATAAAGATGACACAAATAAACCAAATCTAGAGATCTTAAACTCATGGTGGATCCAGAGGAATGCAAAAGTCTAGTCCAATTTTCAACAGGAAGGTCAGTGCTCCATGTGTTGAACAAAAGAAATCTGTTGATTCCCCCCTCCACCCTGTTTAGCGTGGATGGGGAAATTGATAGCTATCTTTCTCCCCTGCTGGCAATTGTACAATGATAGCTGGCACCTGAATACCTGAACAAGTGTCTGCATCTGATTGGATAGGAACGAACACAAGAGGGCACCAATCTGAGTGTAGAGGGTTAATCATTTATTAAAATGCATCCAAAATTAGTAACTACTCACAAACAAAGGAAGTATGAAGGCATGTAAAAGCAATCCTTAGCTGAACCTCTAGGAAGCCAGTGGTGTAAATTTGGGTCCTGGTCCTTCTGGATGGACGGCAATGAAGCTGTCAGCGGTGAAGTTAGAATTAGGCGCTGTTAACCAGCGTGGAGTGCAAGGAAGTCCAGACCCAGCAGGCAACCAGTAGGAAAACGAGAAGAAGTCAGGTGATGCGTTTCATAGCAACTGCTTCTTCTTCAGACCTGATTTGGCTGTAGAGAAAGTCAGTCTCTTATAGGGGGAAGGCCGGACAAAGCAGGCTATTTTGTCGTAGACTCATGGACATTATTGACTTCTATGCCCTCATGTGACTTTTCATCATTGGAATTGTTTGTTACACTCTCCAGTTGCACCTGATGTTTTATGCTTCATTTAATATTCATATGACGTAGTTCCCTCTCAGCGCCAGTTGTCTACACTTGTTGCATCTGATTGGATGCAGACTCTGTTTGGCTGACAACTTTCCACCTGGTTCCTTTGATTTTCAGGTCCAAGGATATCAGGCTGGAGAGTGTTAACAGGCACCCAAGGCTCGAATTTCATCCAGTTCATTGGGTACTGGCCAGAATTCATATAGTGTTAAGAAAGTTCTGATGCCAGAGGGTCAGGATCACAAACAGACAACTGGGTGCTAAGGACATTGCCTAATACAAAGATGACCTCTATAGGGAGCATATACAAATCAAGGCTCCAAAGGGGTTTATTAACCATAAACTAGAACAGTGAGTGGAGCCATGCAAATCATTCCTTTTTTATGTCTTTGCCAATAGACATCAGGAGCTGTTGGTTTACAGCTCAGATACAGTATAATATAGAATCGCAATAATATTATAAAGGGCTGTGGCTCTTTCTATAGGTTTTGGAACAAACAGGAAAGTATAAGTAGACAGATTACGGGAGGTGGTCCAAAAGAAACCCTTCACCAGCAAGTTTCACATTCACATTTAAGCCTTCTTAGAATAGAAAGTATCTATAGGTTGCATTTGCATTCCGCCACAAATAAACAAAATAAGGGGGTTCCTCCACACTTTAGGACAGCCTTTATCAACCTTTTCAAAATGGAGGAACCGTTGAAATAACTTTCCAGGTTCAGGTAACCCCTGATAATAATTCTATATGTACAGCTCATGTTAAATTAGTGTGAAGGTCACTTGGTAGTCATTGGGAAGAATTCCTCCCTTACAGATAGCTAAAAAGATCAGCGGTGTCAGTGGTTACTCACCTAAGAGGTAGAAGTTGCTCGTTGCTCAAGGAACCCCTAGCAACATCTGGACTAACCCATAGTTAAGGATATAGGGTGGTACCATACAAATCATTAATT